ATGCAGTGTGGAAACTCCACTAATTGAACTGGACTTTACTTTAAACTCACCTGTAGCAGATTTAAGGAACATTCTCCCTTGGACTTAAGGCTGAAATTCCCTAGTGTAAGAAGCAGATAACTGCTATCCCAAAGTTATGCAATTGATGGTCATTGGACTGGGGTTCGGATCTCTTGAGCATACTCAATGAATGATGGCCTGGGGTTACCATATAGTTACTATTTTAATGCCCGCCTTGCTTACTGCATGTATTAGTCTAACAGGCATGGTTCTTTCTTTGTGAATGAGAGTTATTAAAAAGTTTTGCCCTATCACCAGCCCCCATTGTTTGTTTACACAGTGTCCAGTCACTTAACCACTTAATCTGTACAGTCAACAATTCATATATTTCAGTCTGAAGCCAGCCTATACATGTATAATTTCCTTTTCTCAAGAGCATTTTAAAATTCTTTACCATTGACTAAATTTATGACACTAACAATAGAATTACCTTAAGCCCCAGAGGGATGATTCATAATTTTCTCTATCATAAAATGTTGTCTCTAAAGTAAATCAGAGATACGTGAATGAATTTTGAACTCACACTTAATTCTAGCCCAGTCTAAGAAAAATTAGTTCTTGTGACATGTTCCTACTTAATACAGGCCCTCATGAAGACATCGCAGAAGATACGGGTGCTGTAGAAAAGTGGGAAGAAACTGATGGTGCCTGGCTAGCAGAAAGAATGTCTGAGAACTTAGACATCTCTTCAAATAAGCAGCCATCTAAGTGAGGTGTCAACTAAGTCCACGTGGAAGAAGCACACCTGCCTGTGCTAGCCAAGGATTGTAAATAATAAAATCCAAATCTGGAGGAGGGAATGGTATTAGAGTTTAAATTGTGAACACCTGGTTTGCGGAAGGCTCTGAATGACAACGGAAGTCCAAAATATATTTGCAGGGTCCCCACACGGATTAAGCTTCCAGTCATCCCCTCTGAACATAGTCCAGGGATGTGAATAGACTTGCTATCAGAGTATTATAAAGTTGATTATGGCATATGTAATGTAATAAATAACTTATCATTTGATCTCCCCCTTTGACCCATTTTAAAGTTATTTCCGTTTTTAATATTTTCTGATTTTTTTTGTTTGTCTTTTATATTATTTTCTATATATGAAATCCAGGATAGGCAGTAAGTGGATTAATAATTGCCTAGGGGCATGGCAGGGGAGGACCAGGGGTAGGGGTGGGGACTGGGGAGCTCACAATGAGCAAGAGAATAAAATGCTCTGAAATTGCTTGTGATGCTGATTGCACAACTCTTCTTCATAGGACTGAATGATTAGATTGTATGATACGTGGAGAATATGCCAATAAAACCATTTTTTTAAAAAGGACAATGGCACTCAGATACAACAGTGAGAATCTTTTTTGCATATATTTTGTAATCAACACAACTTTTCAGAACAATGGGAAACAAAAAATAAGGAATACAAGGTTCCAAACAGTTACAACCCATCGACTGACGTGACACACTCGGCTTAGCTCATTTGCTGGAGAAGTGACGTGCAGAGGCTTCGGACTGAGTCCACGCCCAGCATTAGTGTGGAGAGGGTGCACACACATCTACAACAGAGGAACCACTACGTGCTAAGTACTTCTGGTACCTGCATACAGGTCCAGTACCTGGGGAAGATAACAGAGCGTTACTGGTCTTTGCACATGCGGTGTGACAGAGGCTACTGCAGGTTTCTTTATTTGCTGAAGAGGCAAGACTCACAAGTGGGCCCATTCACACTGTGACTTTTTGGTATAATGCATGCATGTTATTGGTACAAAAGAGTGCTCTAGTGGTCATTTAAAGGTCATTCAGTCTTTTTTTTAACCTCAAAAAACCTATTATCCATCCAATTACTTATTGAAAAATAAACAAAACATTGAACTA